ATATATATATATATATATATATATATATATATATATATATATATGTGCTTCATTCTAGAAATAAAACAGTAGCAACAGGAGATACCTGATGGGGGTGGGGAGTGGGTTCAGCATCTGTCCCAAAATCTGGTGGCTTTCCATCCAGTCTGGATAACACCTGCCAGGTCCTAACTTTATTTCTCACCACTCTGCCCACCAATCAACTGTTCGGCCTGCTGCTCTCCTTTGCTTTCTGTAAACCTGCCCTTTCCGTTCCTACTTTTTGCTGCTGCTGCTGCTGCTGGTTCTCCTCCTCAGCCCCCGACAAACAAACCAAGGGTACTTGGGACCCCACACACTGAGCAAGTCGAGTCCCTGAACTGCAGCAGTATCAGCTGATGGTTTAGTGATGTAATTTACCTTGGTGACGGATTTCATGATAGTATTTTCACAATATCTGCCTCTGTGCTTCATTCTTTCTTTCCCTGTCCCCCATAAGTTCTCCCTTTTGCCCCTTTATTTAGTTTTACCTAAACTTGCCAAAGCTTTGAATTTCCAAGGGAAAACTTTCTATTTACTTGAAGTACTGACTTGGAAATACTTACACGCCTACATACCTCTGGCTGGCTTACCACCCATCATCCTTCCAACTCAGCCTCTTGAGTCAAAACTTTTTTTTTTTTTGAGACAGATCTCACTATGTCACTCTGGCTAGTCTGAAACTCCCTATATAGATTAGGCTTGCATCAAACTAACGGAGTCATTTCCCTGTGTCTCCTGGGTGCTAGACTTAAATGTGTGCACCACCACACCTGGCAAACATTTTTTTAAAAGATTTTTTATTTTTGTTATGTATATGAAAGTTCTGTTTGCAGGTATGTTCATTATGTATTTGCCTAGTGCTTGCCTAGGCCTGAAGAGGTGCCCATTTCCTTGGGACTAGAATTACAGATGTTTGTGAGCCTCCATGCGGGTGCCCAGAATTGAACCCAAGTCCTTTCCAAGAGGAGCGAGTGCTCCTGGTCACTAAGCCACGTCTCTAGCTACAACACTGTTTTTTGAAAAATATTTCTTTTATGTGTGTATGTGTGTGCCCTAGGGCTTGTCTGTGTACCATATGTATGAAGTACCTACAGAGGCTAGAGAAGGGCAGAGGATCTCTAAGAACGAGGGCTACAGTTGTGAACCTCCATTTGGATGCTGGGAATCAAACCCAGGTCCTCTGCAAGAGCAGCCTTTCCCATTACTAAGCCATTTCTCCAGCCCCAACTTTTTTTTTTTTTGAAACAGAGAAATATCAGCCAAATGTAAAAAGAAAAAGAAAACATTACCCAACAAAATGCAATTGTATTAATGTTAGCTTTTTAAGATTGTTTGTTTAGGTCCCCACTCCCGCCTCCACCACCTGGGATTCATGGCAACTCTCCTTCCTCAGCCTCTTGAATGCTGGGATTATAGGTATGTACCATCAAACTTGACTAGTTTCTGCAGCTGGGCCATTGTGGGGCCTAGAGAGATTGCTCTTCTAGAGCAATGTGTAAAAATCTGTAAAAATACTGGCTTCCTAATGCTTCCAACCCAGAGCCCATATTCCCACCCCCATCCCCTTTGTTTTGTTTTTCTGACATAGGGTCTCTCATCTAACTCAGACTGGCCTTGAACTCATGATCCTCTTGCCTCCCCATCTGGAGTGCTAGTAGTAGAGGCCTACACCTTTATGCTTCCCTCAGACTCTAACCCCTTTCATCAAGGCTGCTATGCTACAGGCCCTGGTCTGCCATAATCACATCTGGAGACACTCCATACTCTCCAGATACTACATGGCCTGTCTTTTCCATGGAAACAGCGAAAAGACTATTGTCTTGGTTTCCCCTTACTTCCTATCAACCATAGCATTTCCCAGAGTGGTTCTGTTTGGCAGGGCACCCCTCACCTGCCACACCACCCTTATAGGGAACTCTTGAGTGACAAATTTCATGATGGTAGTTACCTCCTGATCGTTTAGCTTCACCATATCTGAATGATAGTAAAACTTACATCTTGAAAGTCCAGGACTAGTCATTGATCTTTAAGCCACAAAGCTACAAGATGCCGTGGGCACGAGGTTCCTTTAGTACAAGGTGACGTATATGGATCACTGTCCTAACTGCATGTGAAATACTCCCTTGGATTAGCTTGAATCATTGAAGACTTTAACTCCTACTACTGGCCCCAAAAGGGGATGTGTTACATTAAAATGCAGTTAAGGACTCAATATCCATGTGTAATGTGTGACCCCAGATTAGATACTTAATTGGTTAAGTAGGGTATTGGATAAACACAGACATTGTGATCAACTGGGGAACC